GTTGTCAGTCAATTAAGCGTTCTTTGGGCTCTTCTCAACCCCAACTCGACCTAGTTCTCGGACATGTGAAGGAAGGGTATGCAGGTCCTTGGCGTTCTCGCCCTTGGTAGGCGGAGAAGTAAAGGCGAATAGGCGAGCAAAGAGCAGAATTGGCCCTGAGCCCTTTTGCTTACTTTCGTTACTTCCGAGAAACACTCGAGCGCTTTGACATTCGCACCGGGTCCGGAGGACTGTCTGTTTTACGAGCAATGCGCCTTGAATCAATTTGCTGGGCAGTCGTCCGTAGAGCTGTACCCGTAACCTTACTTCTCCTCTTTTTCAATCTGAATTGTAATTCTTAGTGAAAGGCGGGGCAACTGAAATGATCTTTGAAGTTGTATTGACAGGTTGGCTCTCAGTGATCGCGGCTTTTGTCGGCTGATTGTTAGTGGTGTTGGAGGTCAAGGCGTCCTTATTTGGACCAGAATCTCTCTGCAAAGACGACTCAAAGCCGAAAGATTAACGACCTGAACTTTCACCAAGCTGCAGCTAATGCTCAGCTGTCTTTGGAGAAACATACATCAAGTACGTACATGTATTGTCAAAGAGCTCGGCGTGGGGGCTTCCTGTGAGGTGGCTGATGAACACTCCAAAAGTAGTTTTCTCTTCCATTGTTCTCTTCAGGACACTTCCCGGGACAAAAATGGCAGAATGCAGCGTTAGCTTGAGGCCCCTTGACGCCATCATCCAGTCAGGTCCTGCATTTGCGCTTCCTCCTGTGTTCTCCTAGTGTCTTGGTCTGCAGGGCGCATGCCACTTCCTCCCCCTCCCACCATGTGATTATCTGAGACCCTTGAGCGAGCTCTCGCCCTCCATCAGTTAGCCCCAGGGGGCCACGTGTGGCTGGTGCTTACCAGCGTCATCCATGCAAGCCTTTTTCGATTTGGATCTCGTTCCCCGGGGCCTCCCTCGCACTGCTCCGGTTGCATCCCGCTATCGCGCATCGTTTAAACTTCTTCGCTTGGCCCAGGCCGACCAGCTGTCAGCCTAGCTTCGTTTCGTCTACGTCTTGTCCGGCGTCTGTCCCCTTGGCCAGCTCACTTTCGTCTCTAGACTCTACCGAAGATGTGGATCTTACCATTTCACCGTCGGCCGTTGCATCTGGTGTCACATCCGCTGGTCTCCACAACTCTCAACTTCACTCCGGGTATCGAGAAGAGCAAGGCGACACCTGGCTTGTCAATGTTGCGACAGTATGAAGAGGCATAATGAAGTTCTCGCAACCGTCGGCTGAATCCGGGCTGCCTCGTTCAAAGTAGTGAATGTCGGAAGCTGCCTTACGATGAGTCAACTTCACCTTTGCGCGGGGTTTTCCATTTACAAATTCGGAATTTGGGAGCGTGCCAAAAACGCTATAGACGCAACCAATAGGAATTCCATTCCCATCTTCAGATGACGCTTCCGCTGACGAGAATAACAATTTCCTATTGGCTTGTTGGTTTGCTTGACTCTCACCTTCACCGAAAAGTTACAATTACGATGAAGAGCCTGGAATTGGCAAAAAGCCAAAAGAGGTGAGAGGGCATGGAGGGGTAGGACAACGATAAATGCAGGTCGCGTGGCCGAGCGTTTCTCTTTACCTGGGAGTATCTGGATAAAGCTGAGCCACACCACCTCACAGAAAGTTGGGATGAAGCTATTGTCACGCCTCACGGGGCCCTTGTTCCACTCGGCCTCCTTCACCCGGGCATATTCTCTCACATTCACTCTGACCTCCTTTCAAACTGCCCTTTCTCTCAAAAGACCTCGCGCAGCCTTTCCCCTGCAGCTCTTCCTTTTCCTCTTTCCTCTTCCACACATTCGCTCGGTACCTGCAGCTAGTGTACCTACTTGCAACTTACAACCTGCATCACCATCAAAACCAATACCGACACCAACAAAACCCGGAGGTTCGGCAGTTTGCTTCAGGCACCCGACTCAGCGACTGATCGATTCAAAGTCGCATTAGTAGGGCATCAAGTGTTTTTTGCCTCCCTAGAGTATGGTCACGATGTCGTTCTCGTCCTCGTCTTCATCTTCGAGGCACTCGTCAAGATCATCGAGGTGCAGCTGCGACAGTTGCGCAGAGTACAGATACGAAAGAACGTGCCATGTCGATGGCTGCTCCAGGAAACATGCTTTCATTCGCAACGATCCCCTGAGACCGGATATCAGAATTTACTCTGATTTCTGCGTTGATCGTAAGTATAGATATCACCCTGGGCCCAGATCACACAAGCTAATACTCCCTCCCCAGATACGTGCAAATTCTGCGTGCTCGGTCTAGAAATGTGCAACCGTCCCAAGGACCCTCAGCATCGTTTTTGTAGTGAACGTGAGATTACTTCTCGCTCTCGTTTTGCGATAATTCCTAACATTCAGAGCAGACCGGAGATGCGGAGTGGTGGGCTGTGTTCGGACCGGAGATTGCCCCTCGAATGTGCCACTCCCGTGGATGTGTCCGGACCGTGAGTTCTACCCACTTACACCACATCCAAAACTATGACGTTGACATGCATCTTGAATAGACAAATGCTTCGTCGAGGACTGTTACAAGACTAGAGACAAGCTGTATGGCTACTGCGCCGACCATCGATGCCGAGTCGGAAGCTGCTTCGAGAGGAGGATATCCAACTCCGAGTTCTGCGCCGACCACCACTCGCGAATTTGCCGAGAGCTGAATTGTCGAGAGGTGATATACGCAGACCATCGTTGCTTCAATCATCAACGGTGCATCGTCAAGAACTGCAAATTCCACCGCTTCAGACGTCCAGATGGCGGTCTCTGGGACTTTTGCGAACACCGTGAGTCAACTACCTACTACTCACATCCCCAGTAGTTCGAGAAATTGACAAGAAGGCAGACTATGGTGAATTCCGCTGCACGTACAAAGACTGCGACAAACTGACGATACCTGGCACTCGCTGCTGCGCCATCCATAAGTGCACATTCGAGGGGTGTGTCAATTTCCGAGACAACGAGCTTGACAAGGAGAGAGTGTTCTGTCGAGACCACGGATGCGGCGCATCGAGATGTTACGCTGTCGCTGTTGCTATCGATGGGGGTGGCTTCCGTCCCTTTTGCCGGAGACACACTTGCACGATAGCTGGCTGCAACGAGGTATCCGAGTTCGGTGTCCACTGTCACAAACATCGATGCCACTGGAAGAGCTGCGAAAAGCCGTGCCTGAAGGGAGGAGAGTACTGTGGTGATCACGAGTGCAAGAGACCTGGCTGTCGCAAGATTGCCAGACTGCAGTTCGGCTACTGTGCAGATCATTGCTGCAAGATCGATGGCTGTATCAACTACTGCGACGTTACTGCCGACAGGATATGCTACGAGCACTCAAGAGGCGATCTCTTCGACCGCATCAAACACCTCGAAAAGAGGTTGAGAGAACGGCAACACGAGCATATTCACGAGCATCACGATCACCACCATCCACATTTCGATGATATGCAACTTCGTTACGACAAGCTGATCAGAGATTACGATGAATGCCTCATTAGGCTAAACGAAAGCAGAGAAGAGATTCGCATTCTGCGGACCACTTTCATTTCACCAGACGACAACCGCATCTGGCGAAAGGAACTCGAAGATCGCAACGCTCGCCTATTGCTAGATCTGGACAGAGAAGTCAAGAGAAGCGAGCATTGGGAGCGCAAAGCGATCGAGTTCGGCCGTAGAATCGATGATCTCGAGGTTTTGTTGGCAGAGGAGCGACTCCGACATCCAAAGTCGGATGAATACGTTAGACAAATCGCAGATCTCGTACGCAAAGTCGAGATTCTCGAGGATGAGTTGCGCATCGAGCGCAACAATCATCACATTCACGAAGGACGACAACGCGAGATCGAGAAGCTCGTCCGTACCATCGAGGAGCTCGAACGAAAGCTTAAGGGCGATCACATCAAGGTGGATGAGCTTATCAAGAAGGTTGATCTCCTGCAATCGATACTCGCCGGCGAGAGAGAGCAAAAGGATATTCTTCTTGCTGAGCTCGCCAAGCGGGACGAGTATGAGAGATTGAGACGAGAGGAGCGCCGTCGACCTAGAAGAGGAAGCTGGGAGAGAAGATCTCGCGACTCACGGCCTTGGGGAAGTGTCTTCTGAGAACGGAGACTAAACAGTGTGTACACGGCTTCGAGAAAAGAAGATCATCGATGGCTTTTTCATAGGATTCTGAGGTATTGGCTTACTTGCATTTGGCGTTGGTACCATGGAGTAGTCGGGAAAAGGACATGCGATACCCAAAATTGCCGCCTCAAAGGACCAGGCAATAAGTAGTCTTAAAGATTAATAGAGACAACATTGAGTGACTCATCGAAGAAGCATCGATTAGATGGATTAGTAAACTCCGCAACGCTTGATTGTGACGTGATTTACCTTATGATCTGTCACCTTCGTTGGCTCCTATGATTGCTTGCCAGCAACATGGTTATTGTAAGTAGGTAACTTGTAAGGTATGAACATCCCAGTCTGAAAAACGTATCCGTGTATATCTTTATCTCGGCAGAACAATCCCTTCTTATTCCTCCTTGTTCAAAGGTCCCCGGTCAAGACTCGACGGCCGGCAACGACAACTCTCTCAAGGCTCTGGAAAAAAAGAGTGCGTGCTGACAAAGGAGGACTCGATGTTGTCTTTGTCGGTATCGAGATCACTTGGAGAACAATTATCTTCAGGACTTTTACAGCGGAAGAGAGTATTCAGAAGTCACATCTATCAGAGTATGATGGCAGCTAGATATTTAACCAGTAGCGGGTGTTACTTGGGTCATATCTTCTAAGAATTTATCTATTTCCAAAAATACCTGACCCGAGCTGCAATGTTCTAAGTTCTGTCTTTATTATCGTACAAGCGTGGTATCAAACTGAAATCAACCTAAACGAAGTGAGAGTGCGGTATTTTTTGGCTCGATCAAAACGCGCTTCGCCATACGTGATTGCTTGAGTTGTGTGCATAGGGAGAAACGCACGAATGCTCAGAACTCGCCGTCTTGGAAGGCATCGTCAGAGGATTCGTCGGAGGTCCTAGGCAGACGGCTTGAGTCATCTTTCGAATCCAAATTGAATGGGCTCTTTCCAAGTACCATCTCTAGAATGATAGCAAATGTTACGAAACCCAGGGCCATTGTCAAAAGTCCAAGCAGTTGAGTCACGAGCCAGCCGTAGTCCCCGTTAATAGCAACCCAGGCCGGGAAGCAGATGAAGCCGTAGATACCACCAACCGACATCGGGGTCAGAAACAGAACAGCGAGAACCTTCCAGCCCACGAGGTAAAATCGGTACCGGTAGGCGAGTGCCGTAGCAAGAAAGACGCCAATGGAGTTGGGAGCCATCCACCACCAAGGGAATCTGTTGATAACAACCAGTGGCTGGTTTCCGTAGTAGTGATAAACTCCCATTGGCAGGAGAATCTCCTCCACAATGAGGTCTGAGACCATCATCAGGCCTAAGAAATACCACAGAGTCCTCGTCGACGTCTTGTTGGTCAAAAGCTGGAGGTTCATCTGCATCAACGAGGCGTATCCGAACCAGATTGGTATCCACGGCGGCATCTCACGACCAAGAATGTGCAAGGAAGCATTCTGGTCGGTCCATGGGTAGTGAATGCATCCCAGGACGTCGATGAAAGTCTCGGGGAACGCAATCATTGCGCCACTAAGTGGAAGAACTAAAGGCAAAAGAGTGCGGGAGCGTAGAGCATCTCTTGCGCCGAGAAGAACTGCTGAAAGCCCGATTGCCGTCATTGATACCATGCAAATGATATTGCTGGTCTTCTTATATGGAAGATCTGTTGGTGGTCGAGGAAGATCGAAGGTCGGGTCGACGGTAAAATCCATGCTTCCACGCTTTGGGAGTTCATGAAAGTATGAACCGATGAGAGCTACGGTCGTGAGGCCAGCAATGCTTGGTTTAATAAAACTGCGCGACGGTGACATCTTGGATAGATGAGGGGATGTTATGTTCGAAGCGATTGGAAGAATGGTGATGCGATCTAGAGTCAAGGTGATGTGTTGTGAGAAGTGTCAATTACCTTAAGGTAGTCTTGAACGCAACCCGAGAATCGGGTCCCTTAAATAGTCCACTTCGTAATCACTTGATCGGTCAGTATTAGTAACTTGATACCGAGGTTTCTTCTGGAGTGAAGTGTGTTGCGGTGGAAGTTTTTGGGGAAATAATCTTGGGGCATATGCTGTTGACAGTTATTCTTCAACATCGAAACTCGTCCCCGAGCTTCCCCTTTCGGGAGTGTTCACTAACTAATCCGACCCATGTTAACTCATAATAGTGGATGGCCGAGGCGTCAATAGAAACAAACTGCACTGCCTTTGTAGATTCGAGTGAACAAGACTTCACAAGTTTGAATAACTTGCCAACATGCGGACATCAAAACCCTGAATGAACAGCCTGATTGATTCATGCTTGGCTAATGCTGTCTTGGGAATTGCGACCCTCCGCCCTCAGATCCGGAGTTTTACTTGATGTGATACCCCGACCTACGGCTTGAGCACTCCGGGGGCGGCACGGGCACCCACCCTAACTTGTGTTAGGATAACCACTATTTACAACTCACAGGATCGAGTTTACTAGCAATTCACATTTCAAATTTGAAGTCATTCACACCCGCAACTAAAGAGCTTGACTAGGACTTACTTCCCAGAACCGTGGATGGCAATGTCACTTGCAGGATCCGAACCCCCAATTGCGGCGAAATGCATGGTCTGGCCATGCACAATGAGCCCACTAGGGACGGCTACGTGCATCCACTCTCCACCTATGATAGTTGAAGCCGGGGAAGCGATCTCCTGACGATGCTCCACTTGACTCGGGCAGCTGATTAGAGCAGACACCGGAGTATTAGCCATGCTGGGATCAACCAACAACTTTCAGCTTGGCAGAGGGGCCCATGAATCCTTCGAAATGAGACCTTTAAAATTGATTGCAGCCCTCTCGTATGATCCCTCTGTTCTTTTCTCAGTGTTCACCTCAACCGCCATAGAAAGCAACATCTCAGCCATCAATGATCACATTTAGTTGGCACAAAGTCTTTGCCGCCGGCGAAGGAGCACACATACGTACGGGCTCTGTTTCGCTCCGGATCTTGACCTTGATCGTTGAGATCCTACTTCCAAGGGATGGCATCATTACTGTCTCTCCCACTGGAGGTTTTGCAACAGGTCTTAGCCGAACTCGCCGACAACCCACCAGAACCACCTAGTTTGGAGTTTTACGTCCCTCCTTTCAACTCCAACCCAACGTCGGCTATACTCTGCCAGACATGCCGCAGTCTCCGTGAGATTGCTGAGCCGGTCCTTCACCGACACATTTACATTCCAAATGCGAGTGTGAAGAAGTTCATATCACTGTTCAAGTGTTGGAAAGCACGGCCTCACTGCGCTCAGTACACCCGAAGACTCACAATTGAGGCAAGATCACAACGCCTTGAAGGATATTCCCACCGTGCAGTAACGCGTCTCATTGATCTTGAAGATGCCGATTTCGTTTCTGGCATCATCCAAGATGTAGGTCTCGAGATACGACCCGATTGGTACGAGTATGACTGGAACATCAACGTCTTCGTGGAAGTCGCCATGTTACTGGCACAGAACGCCGAATCCGTTGAGTTGATGTTTGAACCCAAACGCGGCGTCTATCGACAACCCTTTGACATGATCCCCGAGCCGAACAAGACAACTAAGCCAATCCTCTTCAATAATCTTCGACACCTTCACTTGATGCAACCAGGCCTCAGTACTATGGACGAGTTCAAGTCTATTTTGCACTGCGCGCCAAACCTTCAAGGACTTCGGCTTGATCTTTGCGACGACCCTATGTCCGTTTTCACCCTTCCGCCGAACCTCACCAGTCTCATTCTACGGCGCACCAATCTCAGTACACGGCACTTCCAATCAATGACCTCGAACTTCACCATGCTACGCCATCTAGAGCTTGTTTTTAATGGCTTCTCACGAGAAGCATCCATCATGGAGGCCATTGCAAAGCATCGTAACACTTTGACGAGTCTCATATTGATATCTGGCAAGACTCTTCCCTTTGCAAAGCTGAAGAGTCTCCACAAACTCGAATCTCTTACCATGAGCATCGAGACCGTGCGGCCCGAGGATTTGTTGGGTTCGCTTCCATCTTCTTTGCGCGAGTTACGCATTCTGGAAGAAACGGATGGCGGGACTGCACATCGACCTGAAATATGGTTCGAAGATTTCAACGCCGACTTGGATGCACGGTCGGAAACCCTGCCTCAAGATATGGTCATCTATAGGAGTTCATATTCCAGGGGGATCAAGTCTGCGCTTACTCTCACCTCCTTCAGCAGGGATTGCGTACTTTGGCGGGAGATGAGTGAATGCAGACAGTGACAATATGATTACAGTCCTGACAACTTCTGCTTGCCGCAGGCCGTAGTCCTTCCGCCGTTTCTAAGCATATGATGCTTCGAGTCATGACTAGAATTAGAGAAAACACATTCAAATGCGTGTAGAGTAGTCACATGTACCTTGAAGAATCGTGGTGAAAATACACGGCGGCGCGATGCCCGTAAACAAGCTTAGTCATCATTCATAGGCGCCATTCCAGAAGTTCGCTGAATCGTCTTGGTTTCCTCATCAAACCAAATCAGTCAACCACCGATATAGGAGGGTCGAGTAGACCATGCCTCCTTCACCAGATCCTGTGAATGCTAGCCATGCACATGATAATCCCATTAATCTAAGGTCTTCCCGCAAACCGCGCAGAAGTGGCATTTGGGCTCTCCTCGCACTAGTACTCCTGGTCAATCTGGCCGCCAGTCTCTACCAGCTTCCCCTCAGCAGAGTCATTGAACGCCGCCTCTGCCGCGAGCATTACGCGGTCACAGATCCTTCGGTAATCGACAAAGATGGCAATGTTGCAGAAGGTTTTTGCAAGGTGGACGATGTGCAGCAGGGTCTTGCCTGGATTCAAGGAACTATGGAAACGGCGTGGATCGTGGGTGGTAAGCGCGCAGAATCTCACTGGCAGGCATTCGCTCTTCGACTAACGTCTATCCAGACTTCATCATGACGGTTCCGTTGGGATTCCTCGCGGAGAGGTACGGTCGGCGGTCCATCCTCTGCCTCAACATTGTGCCCCGCATCATCTTGTTGACGTGGGCCGTTATCGTGGGGTACTTTGAGCAGACCTTGCCGACCAAAGCCATGATCGCATCCCCGTTCTTCTCGGTCCTAGGCGGTGATTGTGTTTTCAACTCAATCACATATGCCATAGCTTCCAACATGACAGACGACCACGTCCTGAGGTGAGTAGGCCATCGACCTGACCTCGCGCATTACCCTGGTTAACTAAGGTGACACAGGGCCACGTATTTCGGATGGATGGGCTCCGTGTCGTATGTCGTCAACTTGCTTGGCCCAGCTCTCGCATCAGCATCTATGAGTCTTCTTCTCTGGCTTCCGTTCTGGATTGGAATCGCTCTCCTTCTTCTGGCCATTCCCGCTATCTCCCTCTTGGAGGAATCACCTGACAGCCACCCTGACGCGGACGACCAAGCGAGACCTCTCCTCTCATCTCCTGTGCTGAAAGCTCAAGACGCCGATTCATCCCTTCTGAGATCCATCCTCCAGCGCTTCGGCGTCTTGAAGTCTATCGTCGCAGGTCATCCTCGCAACATGACCCTCCTGCTCATCAGCTTTGTCCTCACCTCGCTCGCAAGCTCGGACACGAAGTTGCTTGTGCAATACATCTCGAAACGCTATCACTGGACGTTTGCGTCTACAGGCTATCTCCTCTCCGCCAAAGCCGTCGTCAACTTCACGCTCCTGACGGCCATCATCCCCGCCATTCTTCGGTCGAGACAGAATAGGTTGCGGCATATTCCGCCTGAGCTGGCCAGTCACCGGATGAACATACACTACGCCAACATCTGCTTGGTTGTCTCTATCCTCGGTGCTCTGGCGATTGCTGTAGCGAGCCGGATCTGGATGATGGTACCCTCACTGTTTCTCTACGCTCTCGGCTCGGCGCTGCCGGTATTCACGCTATCACTGCTCAAGTCTCCCTTCATCTCACCAAAGAGACACGACCAGCCGGTCGACTCCGCGGACCCAGAGTCACACATATTTTCGATTGTGATGATGGTCAAGACTTCAGGATCGCTTTTAGGCGCACCACTGATGATGGTCCTATGGGTGAAGAGCATAGCGATCGGCGGCGCAGCTCTCGGCATCCCGTACCTTATTTCAGCCAGCTGTTATCTTGCTGCTTTGCTCGTCTTAGGTCGCATCACAACGGAGTAGTGCAGTATTCATTCAGAAATTAGAGTCCGCATAGACATCACAGCACAGTCACACATAGAGTTTTCAGGCTATGGGTATCACGAATTACTTACAAGATGAGTGACATGGACGGTGGCGAGTCTAGAAGGCAGGAGATACAAGGCATGGTACACCTGATACCCTCGGCCGAGAGAACGCGTAAGCTCTCTGACCCCCGGATGCAACCCACCACATATTGATTGAACGCGGACTCCGGACACGTATAGCCAAGTAGCTTTCACCCAAGTATCCAACTCGCAATCGCTTCTACGGCGTCCCAGTTCACGACGGCCTTTGCCAATAGCCCATTAAGTATCTCGGTATCCACAACTTCCATTGCCGGCAAAATATTCGGTATGGTGGGCTTCTCTCTAAGCCCAAGATGTTCGTCCGACCGACCGGCCGCCGTGGAGACCGCGGAACCCGTGGACTCTTCGGCACCTGACGGCTCTAGCTCCGGACCCTCGGCCGCAATACTGGGGTTCGTGACTCCGTTGCCCCGGACGGTCGCGATCCCCATTTTCAAGTGCAATCACCGCCTTTACTGCCCACCCGAATCATCCGAAGTGGAGGGTTCTAGGAAAAGTTACACGAACGTTGAGGGGGTGTCTTGGTTCAAAAAACACCCTGCAGGCCAAGGAGAGGAGACCTTGGTTCGACAACCCCTGTCGCTTCAAGCGGGGGACATCCGTCGTGCTCACTGATTACGGCTTATGGTTCAGTTGAAATGCATCGGACAATCAGTGGCATCAGGCACATGGTTCTCGATCCTTCGCTTGCTTACTCTTCGTGCCCTGCTCCCCTCCTCTTGCGTTCATCCTATGATTCTGTGACCGGCTCACTGAGACTCTCATCTCGCGACATCGGTTCAACATGATGCGCTCCAAGGTGGTGAGAGGTATCATTCTTGCACGCCTCCAACCAACACCGAGTATCTCACTACGATGCTGGCAACCAGTCCTCCAACTGAAACGCCTCCTCTCCGAGAAAACATCGCCCACAGCAGACGAAGAAGTAGATATCCTCATAGTCGGCTCCGGCGCCGGTGGTCTAACGGCCGCCCTCCGCGCCCGAACCCTCGGCCTCAACCCCGTTGTCATCGAAAAGGAAGCAACACTCGGCGGCGCGTCAGTGATCTCAGGCGGAGGCCTCTGGATCCCAGCAAACCCAATATCCAAAGCCGCAGGCATAAACGACTCCAAAGAAGATGCCCTCGCGTACTTTGATCGAGCCGTCGGAGACGTCGGGCCGGTGTCGTCGCTGGCGAAGCGCAAGGCGTATCTAGATAACGGGCCACAGATGATTTGCTTCCTGAGAGACCTTGGTTTTGAATGGAGATTTAGTAGGGGGTATCCGGATTATTACCCCAAGACGAAGGGCGCCATGGGGAAAGGAGGTGGGAGAACTATCGAGTCTGTCGCTTTTGATACTAGGAAGCTGGGGAAATGGCAAGCTGCGCTGCCGCCTGCAAACATACCCGTGGCAATCCACGGTGAGCAAGCACCATGGATCACAATGATGACGGCTTCTCTCCAAGCTTTCATCAAGTCGACCCGGATCATGCTACCCATCGTCGGCAAAACCATTCTCGGACAGAAACTCGTCAGCCTGGGCCGCGGACTCATCGCGCAGCTTCTCTACCTCAACATCAAACACGCAACCGACATCCGACTACGTACCTCCCTCCTGGATCTCACACTCTCCCAAGCAGGAAAAGTAACCGGCGCAAGAGTCAAACTCCCCGATGGAACCACCAAGACCATCAAGGCATCCCGGGCCGTCATCCTTGCAGCAGGTGGCTTCGCGCACAACAAACCTCTCCGAGAGAAGTACGGTCCGACCCCAGCCAGCACGTCATGGACCAACTCGCCCAAAAGCGACACAGGCGACGCTGTCATCGCGGGGCAGAAACTCGGCGCGGCGACGGCGTTGATGGATGATGCGTGGTGGGGGCCGACCATCTTCGACCCGGTGACGGGCAAACCTCACTTTGCGCTTATAGAGCGATCTCGACCGCACTGTATCATCGTCGACAACGCCGGGAAGAGATTTATGAACGAGGCGCAGTCTTACACGGATGCTGGACACGATCAATATGAGAGGAACAAGTCTGTCAAGGCGATTCCAGCCTGGTTGATTATGGATACGAACCACCGGAACAGATACATGCTTGGCACTCAGCTGTTCGCGAGAATGAAACCTAAGAGGCCGGTTGCGAATGGAGCAATGTTCGCGGCAAGCACTCTGAGAGACTTGGCGAAGCAGATTGGAGTCGACGCTGAAGGTCTGGAAGGAACCATCATGAGGTACAACGACATGTGCAAGACTGGCGTTGACGCAGACTTTGGAAAGGGTGACAACGCATATGATAACTTCTTCGGTGACCCCGCCGCTGGCGGGCCAAACCCAAACATGGGAGCATTGAGCAAGGCACCGTTCTATGCCATTGCCATTTGGCCAGGCGACTTGGGCACTAAGGGTGGCCTCGTTACTGATGAGCATCAAAGGGTACTAAAGGAGGACGGCGAGGCGATTCCTGGGCTGTATGCTATTGGTAACACGGCGGCGAGCATCATGGGGCGGACTTATCTGGGAGCCGGATCGACTTTGGGTCCTGCAATGACGCATGGCTTCCTTGCCGTCAATCACATCGCCGAGTCCTGAAAGTCTGGCCTCATTGAAAAGTGTCTACTGTGTGATTCTTATTCATTAGGAAATGGATTCCTATCAATCAGTGCAAGGTCCAGGCAGCATTGCGCGTGATGATGAGTATGTTTCTGCTGACTTGAAATGAGGTGATAGTACCCATTATAGGTGATAGGAACAGTGGGCTGTATTTAACCATCAAGCATGTATATACGTTGCTAAGTCTGAACTCCAGATCATGTCAAAGAACGCAGTTGCATATGGCTGCTTGGTCTCGCTCGCAATGTCAACGCCCTTCATGCTATCCGTCGACCCTTGGGTCGGGGATTAAACCAAATAAACGACACCATGAAAGCAAAGAAAATCTTCAACATGAGCACATCTTCTCTATGCCATCGTCTCCCCTCGTGTACGTCGTCTGTCTACACTGGTCTAATAGGCTCTAGCACAACTCTTTGTGTGACTCTAGTGGGGTAGCTTCCGGGGTGGCAATGACGTCTGGTGTCGAAGTTCCGGAGTGTAGCTTGTCGTAATCGGTCGAATCGACACTGTTCTTGTCTGACTTTTCCGACTTTGAGTCTTCATTCGTCTCGTCCTTGTCATCTTTGGCGTCTTCGGTCGATTCTTCTGTCTTCTGGATCACAACATTGACATCAGGCTTCGCGGCATCTGCACTATCAGCCTCAAGCCTTTCGCGCTCTCCGCCCGCGTTCACCTGGGCGTTGTCGATATCGGCTTCTCCTTTCTTGCCCATACCACCCTCGAGAAGCTCGCCACCTTCCATGACGACACGAACTTCAAGATCCTCATCCATGGAGTAGACGCGCACTCCGACGATGCAGATAGCGTTCCAGGGATCAGGCAGACCCTCCTCCTCAGATTCGTAACGCTCGTCATGTCTTTTGGGTGGTCCAGCGGGAGTCAGGCGTGGCTTTCTGACCATGTCATCGTCACTATACAACTCTTCCCAGTCTTCGATGGGCGAGTCAGACGAATCGCCATCTGAGTCGTAGGATTTCTGCGCTGGCGGTGCGGGAGCAGGGGTAGGAGCCGGGGAAGGGGCAGGTTTGTCTGCAGGCTTATCGTCGGTGGCGTCCTTCTTGGCTTCATCCTTGGGCTCTTCCTTGGACTCGTTTGTGCCATCTGTCTTGGAGTCACCTGCAGCAACGTCCTTGGACTCTTCCTTGGACTCTTCCTTGGGCTCCTCCTTGGGCTCCTGCTTGGGCTCCTGCTTGGTGACTTCCGTCTGGACGGCTTGGTCCTTAGGCTTCTCTGCATCCTTCTTCTTTGCCTCTGCGTCTTCCAAAAGTTTCGCTTCTTCGGCCTTCTTGGCTTCCGCGGCGGCTTTTTGAGCGGCCTCGAGGTCAGCCTTCGCCTTGGCTGCTTCCGCCTTCTTGGCAAGCTTGCGGTCGCGCTTCTCGTTGTTCTTCTTGGTCTGCTGCTTGGTGACTTCGCGGTTGGTGTGGCGTCTCTCCCAGAGCTTGCGGCGCTCCTTTTGGCGAGACTCGGAGGCTCTCTGCTGCTCCTTGATCTTTCGCAGCCTAGCGACCTCTTGGAGGTGCGCAGTGCCTTTGCTATGAGCCAAGTCGTACGCGGCACCAATTTGCGCCAGCTTGTCGTTCTCAACGCGCTTCTTGCACTCACGCTTGACCACATCTTCGACAGAGGGGATGTCAGTGTCCCTCTCACCAGTGACACTCATGAAGATGCTGTACTCTCCGGCTGGCATGTCGGGTAACTCGATAGAGACGGATCGGTCCATGAGATAGTTGCCGTGGGAGCGTACGATATAGTCCTCGGCACCAGGGCGGTCTCGCTCATGTATCCGGAAGTGGATGCGGAAAGCGTACTGTCCCTGAAGTCCCTTGAAGTATCTCGTGTCAAGTTGAGTCAAAACTAGGACTAGCGGCCCATCCTTGGACAACTTGACCTGGAATTTCTCGTTGAACTGGGATTTCCAGGGCACCTCAACGCCGATCCAACGTTGAGCGCACCTCCAAGCGGGGTCGCGGAATAGCCTGGTTCTGTCGATATGTTGGAATTTGCGTAGGAAGTCGTCGTAGTTGATCCAGAAGACAGAGTCATTGCCAAAGTGGTGGCCAAGCTCCTCTTGAACTTCCATGGTCCATTCCTTGGAGCCGTCGGACCAAGCACCCTCCCATACACCCTTGCGAATCTTGCCCCAAGGGTTGCGCAGCTTGATCAGACGCTCTCCAGACTTGAGCGTCCTAGCTTCCATGATCACGTATGCGTGGCCTTCCGAGATGCCATTTCTCTCGCCATAGCCTCCGTCTAAGAGACCGGTAGAACAGCCGAAGAGGAACTCCTCGTTGACT